TTCTTTGAAAGTTGTTAATAAAGGTTTTTGATAAAAGTTTCACAGCAGCCAGCATCCTGGCATGCGTTGCGATCGATGACACAATGCTCCCCGTCTCAATTCTGTAATAATTTGCACATTTATGCACTACGCACTCGAACCCTACTGCGCACTTTCTCCTAGTGCACTTTGCTGAAGTCTGCAGGGACCAGTGCAAGTGCTGAGATTGGGCCATAAAAGGAGCCTAAGCCACGCCCATCTACTTCTGCATCATGGGTCCCCGGAACAACGAAAAAATGAATGCAAGTGAACAGGGCTAAAAACGCAATTTTACTGCACGTTAAACAGATTTTTATTTTATCAATATTGAGAAACTGTCAGAGTTGATGTTGGTATTTTATTGATCCGAAGTGCGAAACATACATTTCACTCATTTCTCTAGTTTCAGTAGGTGTGGTTAACATTTCCTCTAGTTACAAACTGTTGCATCAGCAGAAAAAACCTGTTTCAGTCGACTAAATTATACATTTCTATAAAAGACTACATTTAACACTGCTTTAGAGGTCATGATGTGACCAACTATGGTTATTGAGGGTTTCCCTCCTGGGTACTCACAGGTGGGATCTATCAACAGCTGATGTGCAGGAGCATGCGTACAGGTGGCCACCGCATGTTCCATAAATCAGGATTTTGTCCGTCCGTACAAACACTCCAGATTTTCTTTGTAGGAAAGAACACTGGACAGTTTCTATCAACGTTTGATGAGTGAGGGCCCGGGATTGGAGGTTTCACCTGACATGTCAGATTCCAAAATAATTCCCACTTTCCTCAGGTCTAGTCCGAGATGGTGTCTAACTTCTTTCTGGGGTTAAACGGTGTAAACCAGCGCTAACGCTATCTGCTGGGATCTTGTAGGAAGCCCTCAGATCCATCAGCCAATCACATCTAAACATGTTTCCTCTTGTTTCATCTCACATTTGTGAAACAGACACAACAGTTGGTGGTGGTTGTTTCAACATCACAGAACCAGAAGATCCTGTTTCTGCCAGCTTTAGTTACGTGACTCAAACTTGGGAATGGCAGCATTCCAAAGACCAGAAAGCCAGCCAGGTCAGCAAGCTAGCATCTAATAATGTTGTTTATGATTTAATGAGACATAAACTGCCAGAAGTCCATCTGAGACCACTCAGAGCCTCCTGCGGTTCCTCGGAGAGTGAGAGGTGCAGGAAAACAAACACAGAACAGGGAAAAGCTGCAGGTCCTCACTAATCCGTACACGTCCTTCCTGCTGAAGAATCCATCAGCTTCTCTTTCATGTCACCTAAAATTTAGTTGCATCATTAAATGTATTAGTTCATCAGTGATTTACATTGCCATAGTTACATTTAGTTCAAAGTTTTATTTGATTATTATTGTTATTATTATTATCATCATTAATATTATTTATTATTATTGTTGTTGTTGTTATTAATATTATTATTAGTTTATTATTATTATTATTATTATTACTATTATTATTATTGTTATTATTATTATTATTATTATTATTATTATTATTATTATTATTATTAGGGACAGCAGTAGCTCAGGAGGCACATTCCCACCCAAATGATTAATAAACCAGCTTTGATCAACCCCCCAACCTACAGGAGGTTATCCAGTAATGTGCTGTAGTGCCCTTGAGCAGGACTCAACCCCCCTGCCTGCCGGTGCTGGTCAGAGGGACGGGTGGCGGCTCTGCCTGGAAGCCTCGCCTCTGTCAGAGCGCCCAGGGCCGCTGTGGCTACATGGTAGGTCATCACCAGCAGCGTGTGAATGGGTCACCATGTATCTCCAAACGGAGCAGGCGGCTGAAGACACACGGCCAACAAACTACATCAGCTGTTGTTTCAGATTAGATTTGTCATTCATCCTGCATGCAGGCCCTCGTCCAGCCAGGACCTGGAGTTTAACACGCGGCCATGACTGTCAGAGCGATCTGAACAGGAAGTCAGCTCGAGGAGAGTAAAAACCGACACACACACAGGTAAATACTCAGGAGGGGCAAACTGGGCTGCACTGCTGCAGCTGATTTACAGCAAAGTGATGAATAATGAGAGCTCCAGTAAATGCTGAGGAAGCAGCAGATCCAAACTCATCTGTTCTGGATCAGCTGGAGAAAAAAACGCATGACAACGAAACGGAGACACGACTAAGTGAAGAAAGATGAGCTGCAGACAGAAAAACAGAAGTCAGGTCTCGTAAACCTGTGATGAGACCACACACACACACACACACACACACACGGACACACACACACGGACGCACACACAGAAACACAGACAGACACACACAGACACACACACACACACACACACAGAAACACGGACAGACACACACACACACACACATAGAAACACACACATGCATACAGACACACACCATCAGAAGGACATGGACTCACAACCACTATAATTTTTTAGCATTTCAAAAATTTTACAAATATTCTTTAGAAAGAAATTTTTTTATGTAACAAAGAATCAAACAAAAACTTGTGTTCAGAATAATAATATACTTTTAAAAAGTCTCCTTTTATTAATAATAATAATAATAATTATTATTATTATTATTATTATTATTATTATTATTATTATTATTATTATTATTGCTGTTGTTATTATTATTATTTATAAATTTGTTTATTTATTTATTGTTCTGCCGGGCTCAGGCGGAGTTCTGGGTTCTGACCCACAAAGTTAGATTAATTAAAACACTTTCATCCTTTCATAATTCATGTTTCATCTCCAGTAACAATTAATGAGCTAACAGCCGCAATTTTTTATTCTGAGCATCTCAAGCCCTGTCAATGTGGTCGCAACACCGACTCTGGGAATGGCTGGAAGTAAATAAATAAATAAATAATGTTCACCTTCACACTAAAAGAAAAACAAGTAAAAACTAAGAATATTCTGTTTAAAGGTTTAATAACAACATTCAGAATGAATTTAGTTTAATTTTAGGTTTTAATCCCAGCTCAGAAGTTTGGTTGTTTGTGTTTTAAACCTGACTTAAAACTTTAAAGTTATTTTTGGTAAAAAATCTATTGAATCTATTTAAATCTGTATATAATGTTTCTATTTTCTCGTAATAATGAGAATAATTTCTTCTTTCTGCTCGTCAACAATTTAAAACAAGAAGTTTATTCATGGTTCTGGTCTCAGGTGGCTGACCCGGATGGTGCTGTGTCTCTGCCGGTCTGAGAGCGGGACCAGGACCTGGACGGGTCCTACCCCCAGCCTGATACCAACACACACTCTCGAGCTCTCTGAAGTCCTCCTGGTGCTGATTCCTGCACATGGACCTCACCCCTGTCCCTGTTGTCAAAAGGACCCAGAGAGGTGCCCCCGTGCTGCCCGGTCACAAAGGGCCTGGGGGACCGCTCTGTAATGAACCTCAGCAGAGGAGAAGGAGCCCCCTTTTGCAGGAACATGTAGAACTGGTCCGCTTTGGTTTCTCCTCCCTATCATGTGTATGTTTATGTTTATGTTTATGTTTATTCATTTAGCAGACGCTGTTTTCCAAGGCGACTTATCTGTGGGGGAAACCGAGTACCCGGAGGAAACCCTCTTCTCCCATGCGTGCATGGGAGAAGACGCAACTCCACGCAGAAAGGCCGCAGCCTTGGATTAGTGTGTGTGTGTGTGTGTGGGGGGGGGGGTTAGAGCACAAACAATGAGGTTTAATGGAGGCAGAGGAGGAGGAGGAGAGCTGCTCCTTCCTCCTACACATCTCCAACATTCCTCCTGCCTGAGAGGACCGGGACTACCGCAGAGACCAGGTCTGAGTCCTTCAGCTTCTGCTGGAACCGGGTCCACATAGAATCCTCTAGAGGTTCTGTTGGGATGGTAGCAGCCAGAGGCCTCGACCCGCTACAGGGAACTGGGTCAGTCCGGTTCCGACAACAAACTCAATTCAAACTCTGAGAAACTAAAATTGTGTGTGTGTGTGTGTGTGTGTGTGTGTGTGTGTGTGTGTGTGTGCAGAGAAAACACTCATTTTCAAGTTTCTTCACCAGAACCATAAAACCCAAACAGCTGATTCCGCTTTTTTATTGTTTGTTTGTTTGTTTTTCACTATAGAAAAAATCCCACAAGTAAAATTTTTACTCTTTTCCTTAAAAACTGATTCGGTTCAGAGTTTCAGAAACCGCTTTTTGTGCCTCACTCGAATTAATGACCCAGGGAGCACCTGGCCGCTCGAGCGGTTCCAGGCCCCACCGGTCTTGGACCTGGACCGGACCGGACCTGGGCGCAGCGCGTGACCACTGGAGCCAGGAGCTGAATTGTTGAAGTTCGGCCGTGACAAAACGGGCACAAAGACCGGACCGCCTCAGCCCCCATCGGGCAGAAGAGGAGGAGAAACCCACCTCCTCCTCCAGCTCCTTTCTGGGCCAGGAGAACCCGTCAAGGGTGGGAGAACAAGGGCACGGATGTAGGTCCGCCTCGGTCACCTTCTGCACGGAGACGTCTGAAGTTTGATCCCGGCAGGAGCCCAGCTGACCGTCAGGACGGAGATGCTGATTAATAATAATAATAATAATAATAATAATAATAATAATAATAATAATAATAATAATAATAATAATTCGCTCTGAGCTCCAGAACCGAACACTTCGTTCCTTTGACCTTCTGCGCCGCACACATCGTGTGATGCACGGCTTGGTTCCGACCGAACCAGGCGGGCCATGTCCGTGTTCTGCGCGTAAATCTTCCCACCGTAACCCGGTCCTTTCTGCAGCTACACGAGGCCCCGGTTTCAGCCCGATGACGGGTTTTAATGGAACAAAAAGCCAAATTCATACCGGACGCGTTTTCACCGATTTTTCAGGAAATTGTGTTTTCTATTTTACAGAACCTGAGCCGAAGTTCCGGTCCAGTTCCCAGAACTCCGTTCGTGGCTCTGTCTGCGCACCCTGAAGCAGCCTCCGCTCTTGAGACCTGTTTGGCGCATTAGCGCTGCGCCGCGCCGTGCGCCTCACTTACTTGGTGTTGGTCGTGTTCCAGTAGATGGACTCCAGGATCAGCGGCCGGCACAGGTCCACTCTGAAGGCAAGAAACAAAACTCCAAAATAATATCTCCACATCGAGTCCCCCATGATGAGCCGCGCGCCTCCGGATGGAGCACGATCCGTGACTGCGCCTTATGTCCGCACAGGAAAAATAAAAATAACAGGACAGGGTCAGAAAATCTTCAGTTTATATTCCGATCCGGTACAGAAGAACCACAAGCTCCGAACCGAGCATCTCCAGAGGAGAGACCTGCTCCTAACCCGAACCCAGAGGCACACAGTTCATTCAGCGCAGCGCCCGCTCTGTGCGCAACACCCCGAGCCGCTCATGTACATCCTGCACACAGGACCCAGTATAATCCCAGAAATCCAGAGCAGAACCGGACCGTGAAGCCGAGATATTCCGCCTTCGGCTGGTGGAGGGGGAGGCGTGAGGTGGGAGCAGCAGGATGGAGCGATGAGGTCTGGTGGTCAGAATGAGGATGATCAGATGTGAGGATGAGGCAAATAAGAGCTGTGATGGAAGTTCTCATACTAATGGGCTCCGGTCCAGAAACTCCAGGTTCGGTCCCGCAGCTCGGTCCCAGCACGCAGAGACCCGCACACCGACAGGAGGATGAACGGCTGCTCCTCAACCGGGCTGGAAAGTAACTGCGACGGACGCAGACTGGGAATATGTGCTGGAGCTGGTTCTGCGCAGGCCCCGCCCACCGCCGCCGCTGATTGGTCGCTCAGCGGGAAGTTAATAGAAGCTCTTTTGTCAATCAAATCCGACGGACCGGTTCGGCGGGCTAAGAGACGCGGTACCGGCTTATGGTTGACTATAGAACACCTGAGAGGACCGGAAAATCCCGGTGCAGCGACCGGACCGGAACCGGCTCCTAAAACAGAACCGGAGGGTCCGAATCTGCATCTCACAGAACCGTAGGAGACCCGGAGCTGCTGATGTACGGGCACCGATTCATTAGAAAGCCAAGAGCGCCCACTAGCGGGCGGAACCGGGTTCGGTTCTCACTCTTTAAAAACCCCAGATCATCGAAGTTTAACGGAACCGAACCGAACAGAACCTCACTAAGATGTTTACCTTAGCTTTAAATAATGAAGACATTTCACACCTTCAGGGTTCTAACAGACTCGGAATCCAACCGGCAACCTCTCACGGGTCCTGGGTCAGACAGGAGGCTGTGATGTATTTGTTTGTGTTCAGTCATCAAAGTCATTCCTGCATACGGAAAAATCCCAAGATACAACTACTACACCACAAATAACGATTGTATAAGTACACCCTCCCTTACCAAAAAGAAGTACAGTATACTTGAAGTATACTAAAAATGAATACAGTATACTTCAAGTTTACTTTCAATGTACTTATCAGAAGTATAGTTATCTGAGTACATTTTTAAAATACTACTAAGTATACTTTAATACATGCTTACATTAAAGTTTACTTTAGACTATACTTGTACTTTATCAGAAATATATTTCACCAAGTAATGTATAAGTATACTTAAATATATACTTGTAAAGTTTACTAACATTTAGATTGTACATATCAGAAATATACTTCAAGTACATTTTAAGTATACTTATAAATCTACTATTCTACTTGCATATTAAACTAATATATATACTTGGACTAAAGTTTACATGTAGATAATGCTTGCACTGGACAATATCTCCTGAAAAGTTCCAAATTTGACATGGTATAAAAACCATTTGTAGTTGTACTGTTTTGACTGTAGCCCATTTTATATATTGTCACATTTGCTGGATTGCTTTCTACTGTAAGACGGTTCAAATATTATTTATTCGATCTTAAATTTTGGACAAAAGGTCGGCATGTGGCTTAATATTATAGCCTAAGTGAACCTGATGTTTCTGTTAGTCTATAGTGTCATAACTATTTTCTGTTTATTTTAAACAACATCCAATCCTTAAATGGTAAAGAAAAGCACATATTTTATAACAACTGAAATAGGAGGGAAAAAAACTATCAGGAATTCCATTGTCATTCTTAAAATGGGAACGTTTATTAAAGACAATCAGTCCCGTTCATATGGATTTGGCAGAGGTACAACGTCAGCGTCTCTTGTTTACAACCAGTTTTCACATAATTTAGTCTACTTTTCATCTGTTAAAGACCAAGCTAAATCTGGCTTTAGCAACATTTAGGCCTGGTGGTACTTAAATATTTTGTGTTGGTACTTAATGGCAAAAGTTTGAAAAGCACTGGTCAAGATACCTTGACCAAAGTTTTTCTGATCCTGCCAGTGGTCTTACTCATCCTGCACTGCATATTTGCAAATCAATAATTTTTTATCATAGGTGTACAGTTAGAGCATATTGTTATTAATTATTTATAATATAATCACAAAAAATGTCTCAGTTGTGGTCGATCACATTCTAAAAGCATGCTTAATCTGATGTTCACAAAATGACTAACAGCAGTATTGAACTGTAAAGATTTTGTGGTGTCACGAGTTCACCTAACAGTTCAAGAGTTCATTGTTTTGCTTTGTGTGTTCACAAGGCATGCTCAGTTGAAGTTTCCATCTCTGCGCGTTCAAGATGTAAGAAAAATAATACAAAAGAAATGCAACAATGAAAACTTCAAAAAGGCATCAACAGCCAAGCAAGTGGATCATAAAATGGACTGATTTTTTTAAAGGCATTTTTAAAAAGTCTTTCAAAATGGACAGAATTAACGCCTTAAACATGTTCAGAACAGTTTGCGTTCTCAACTTTGATTAATCCTGGTAAACAGGTCTGTTTTTGTTCTGTTCTAATTCTCTCTGTTTAATAAAATGACTTAGCTATTTTATTTACTTTTTTTTTCTCTGCATAAAGACGAAGTATCAGTAAATAGTGGAAACTAAATGTATTGGTTGTAAGCAAATAGCAGATGTTAACTGTTACTTGCAGTATGTGTTTATAGAAAAAATAGAGATACTTAAATGTACTAAAAGAATATTACGTCAAGTTTACTGTAAAGTGTACTTTCAAAACTGTAAGTATACTCAATTATATAAGAAGTACACTACAAGTAAACATATATTATTACTTTAAGTATAATTTTAAGTATACATTCAAAGAGAAAAGTATACTCAATTATTTCAGAAGTACACTACAAGTAAACTTATAATGTTACTTAAAGTTTATTTTTAAGTATACTTTCAAGGGCAAAAGTTTACTCAATTTTATTAGAAGTAAACTTATACTGTTACTTTTAAGTATACTTTCAATGAGAAAAGTATACTCAATTATATCAGGAGTACACTACAAGTAAACTTATATTGTTACTTTTAAGTATACTTCCCAGGAGAAAAGTATACTCAATTATATCAGAAGTACACTACAAGTAAACTTATAAGTATACTTTCAAGGAGAAAAGTATACTCAATTATATCTGAAGTACTCTATAAGTAAACTTATATTGTTACTTAAAGTATATTTTAAGTATACATTCAAGAAGAAAAGTATACTCAATTGTATGAAAAGTGAACTTATATTGTTAGTTTAAGTATACTTTCAAGGACAAAAGTATACTTAATTATATAAGAAGTACACTCCAAGTACACTTGTGATGTTACTTAAAGTATACTTTCAAAGAGAAAAGTATACACAATTATATCAGAAGTACACTACAAATAAACTTAAATTATTACTTTGAAGTATACTTGTAGTATACTTCAAGTATACTTTTAGTGGCCCAATTTAGTCCCAAGGAATATACTTCTAAGTAAACTTTAAGAACAAGTATGCAAATAAAATTCTGTACTCTTAAGTATACTTGAAATTAGATACTTAAAATATACTTCTTTTTCGTAAGGGCTAACCAACTACCACACCACAAACAACGATTCTACACATGTAAACACACATCCTAACCAAATACTACACCACAAATAACGATTATGCATACACACACCCTAACCAAATACTGCACCACAAACAACGATTATACACACGTATAAGTACACCCCAACCAAATACTACACCACAAATAACGATTAGACACACCTATAAGTACACCCTAACCAAATACTGCACCACAAATAACGATTATACACATGTACACACACCCTAACCAAATACTACACCACAAATAACGAATATACACACGTATACACACTCCCAAACCAAATTATACACCACAAATAATGATTATACACACATATAAGTACACCCTAACAAAATACAACACCACAAATAATGAATATACACATCTACACACACCCTAACCAAATACTCCACCACAAATAACGATTCTACACACGTATACTCACACCAACTACTACCCAGAAATAACGATTATACACATACCATGACCAAATACTACACCACAAATAAACGATTATACACACATATAAGTACACCCTAACAAAATACAACACCACAAATAACGAATATACACATTTACACACACCCTAACCAAATACTCCACCACTGATAACGATTCTACACACGTATACTCACACCAAATACTACCCAGAAATAACGATTATACACATACCATAACCAAATACTACACCACAAAAAAACGATTATACACTGTATAAGTACACCCAAACCAAATACTACAACAACAAAAAAACGATTATACACACGTATACACACACCCTAACTAAATACTACACCACAAATAATGATTATACACACGTATAAGTACACACTAACCAAATAATACACCACAAATAACGATTATACACACGTATACACACACCCTAACCAAATACTACACCACAAATTAGGGCTGGGAGATATGGCCGCAAATCTACATTGCGATATAATCTGAAGCATGTGCGGTAACGATATATATTGCGATATATTTTTTCCTCTGTTTATATATGTCAAAATGACATGCTTTTAAATATCCTCATGTGGCAAATATATGCCACTTGAGGCATATAGGCCTCCTCCTCCGCCCACTCCATGCTTGCAGTCACCGCCATTCTGTTGCCCCAATGTCAGCAGGGTGCACATCTTAGTGACGTCATGTATTATAGTGATATCGCGGTATTGCGATACAACCAAAAACTCTATTGTTACCCATTTTTATATAGTTTCTACCTTATATTGTTTATATTGCACACCCCTGCCACAAATAACGACATGTACACACACGCTAACCAAATACTACACCACAAATATTGAATATACACACGTTTACACACTCCCTAACCAAATTCTACACCACAAATAACGATTATACACACATATAAGTACACCCTAACCAAATATTACACCACAAATAACGAATATACACATCTACACACCCTAACCAAATACTCCACCACTGATGACGATTCTACACACGTATACACACATCCTAACCAAGTACTACACCACAAATAACGATTAAATAAATGTGTACACACACCCTAACCAAATACTACACCACAAACAATGATTATACACATGTATACACACACCCTAAACAAATACTACACCACAAATAACGAATATACACACGAATACACACATCCTAACCAACACCACAAATAATGATTATGCACATGCATACACACATCCTAACCAAATACTCCCCCACGAAAAATGATTATACACACGTATACTCACACCCTAACCAAATACTACACCACAAATAATGAATATACACACGTATACACACATCCTAACCAAATACTACACCACAAATA